TATGAATTCTGGTATTTTACACATAGTCCACCAGGAGGCGCCAACACAAAAGTCAGAGACTTCACATGAGATTTGGACCATCTTGTGGGGGAAAAACAGATTACTTCCTACTCGCGAGCGCCTCCTCTGGTGGGGAAACTTTTTTCAGGGATACAAACCTTTTCAGAACACCAGTAGACGGCAGCCACTACAGATGAACATGTGTTTGTTGTTGTTAGAGGAGCGGCCCGGTCACACGCTAATGTCATTAGTTTGTTATAATTACTGAGGTGCAGGACTACTTTTTTTCCCCTTTTTTTCACATCATGTCGCCTGCCTGGATCTGTTATTATCTCGCTCTGAAGCACGGAGGAGTGTCACAGGTAAGCTCGCTTCAACTGCTTTTTTACGACGCAGTCTCATTTAAGGACTCAGGTATTTTGTGAATGAAGCCGATATTTCAGTTAAAATATATAAGTAAAAATATGTATCCGAGTATAGAACCACCTCCCAACCTTATGGATGATTTTATAGATTAAATTTTACACACTATACTTGAATACGGTACTTATTAAAATGAACTTGACGTATACAACTTTTTGCTAAGGGGTAGGGAAATTGTTACCTATAAGGCGATCTTGCAGCATGAATAATAAAGGAGAGGCTGCAGTGAAACATCTAGATTAAGCTCAGCTCACATTATGAAAGCCAATTTGTCAAAAGACGTTGAATTCACCAGTTCTGCTCCCGACTCCGATCAGTCTGTAGAATATTTTGCTCATTCCAGGCCATGATGAGATGATAAAAGCCTGGATCCCCCACATCTCACACACACAGACACCATTATAGTAGGCAACAAAAGCTGTAACTCACATAGGCGGGTCCGCTGCCACTCAGTCCAGTGACAGCATCAATTAGGTCCTCCTCCACCTCCGTGCAGAAACCAACACTGGCCATCAGCTGCTCCAGCAATTTACCATCTTCCACCTAAAATAACTACAAAAGTCTGACTAAAACGTATTTAAAAAGCAGAACCTTTCTGTTCGTTTGTCTCATTACTCAATCACGTTGGCCAAACACCAGCACTTCCTTTCTATCATATGTTTTGGTTGTTTTCAGATGACTCTTTACCTCTGCATGTGTCCCTGTGGCGTACACCGTGGCTCCTTCTCGCACCACCACCGGTGTGTTTGTCATACACCTCATGACTCTAGGAGCTGAACGGTGCTGAAGCAGCTTCTGCACAATGACCAAGAAAATGTGGGACAAATATGTAAAAGATAAGAGGCGAGAATTTTCTTTTACATGTTAAAAATCCAACACCTGTGAAGCCTAGTGTGAACAGATCCACGTGTCAGTATTTCAGAGTGACGGTGAGTGATGTTTACCTTCTCTATAGAGCTGATGGTAACACCTGCAGCACAAGAGACGATAAGATGACGGTCTTCGATGTCTGGACCGATCTCATCCAGAACAAAGGGGATAATGTGGGGCTTCACAGCCAGAAAAAGCACATCACTCTTGTTGACAGTCTCTTTGTTACTAGTTGTCAAGTTCACCCCCATTTTCTACAAGAAAACAAAAAAATATGTGATACTTAGTGGTACAAAAAGTTTTTGTTTACACAGCAGCAAGCATTCATTTTTTAACTACTGCACAAGTTCATCCTTACATGAAAGTTCCTCACTTTACCATGTTCGGAAAAAAAATAAAATAAAATAAACTTGTTAATAAACACTGTTATAACAAATTTAAACGGCTCACCCTCAGCCCAGTCACAGTGGGTAGGTCTGTGTCTGGAGAGCTGGCTGTAATCCTGTGTGCTGCAATCACACCTAGAGAAAACAACAGGAAGAAGTGACATTTAAGAGTGTGAAATAGAATTCAAAACAAAGAAACAAAGCAGGAATAAAACATTCACATTACAGTTTACAAAGAAGTTACAGAGGACATATCCTCCAGAAACATCAACTATATTAGTAGTACTTGTCGATTAATCTGACTGATAGCTCTGTTTAATTGTTTTATGTGTCACATAAGCATAGAGGCCATATTAAACAGCCATGAACAATAAACTAGTAATATTAAAACTTATTTATCTGAACTAAAGATACAGGTACGCATAAAGAAGCACTTAAAGGGATCCATGGTTAGTTGTAACATTAGACTTTATTTAATAAACATATATTTTAACTGTAAAATAAAG